ATGGTGGAGGGTATAATAAACAAAACCACATTTTTGTAATTTTTAAAAAATTTTAAAAATTTCCGACTTGATTTTCTCGAAACACCCTATTATCTATTAATCAAATGACGAAAAAATATTGCTGGTGTCACGCCTTTTTAATTTGTTTTTGATGTTCGGCTTTTTGCCTTCCTCAATAATAAATCTTGCACATCATTACATTTCGATGCCCTTAGATGTCTATATCTGTATGTGTGTATGTAGGTGTATTTGTATGTATGAGAGTAGAAATGTTTCTCAAAAAACAATGTTAATAATTATTGATTTGAACAACAACAACAGCAGCAGCAGCAGCAATAACTTGTACATGAGGTCATCGATAATTTGTGCAACGTTTTGACAAAAAACCTGGCGGCAAATGTTAGGTCACATGCTGTAAACCGATAAATGCACACAAACACACATTCACAACCTCTTTTAGTTGTTTTGCACACACACACATCCACTTCATGAAACTAGAACAGGATGTGGGCGACACTTGATGTCTTTTTTTTTTGGTGTTTTGCTTTGCTTTGATCCTTCCACTTCCACTCACTCACTTCAAATTCCGAAATTGATTTTCCACAAAAATGCAAGTTCCGTTTCCGTTTTGTTGCACTCGAAATCGTTCGTTTCGAAATTTTTGATTTGTTAATTGACAGTCGTTACTTGGGTCTTCAAAAAAAAACTAACAATGGTCGCGTGGCCATTGAATTTTTGAGACTGGAGTAGCAAAACGTCAAATTTCCGTTGCGAATTATTTTTTTTTTTTTGTTTAGCTAAAAAAAAGCGCAAACTATTCTACCCGGCTACTAACTCGTTGTTAAGTCAATGTTGTTTCGATGACCGGCCTTTATTGATGGGCCCAGAGAAAGCACCGGCATTGCGAACGCATTTTCACTGTAGAGACATGCGCAGTGGAGGGCGGCATGAGCGAGCAGCATAGCACAGCATATGCAGTTAAGTGGGCATCATCGTCATTATCATCATCGCCATTATCTCCATCATCGTCATAATCATCGCCGTTATCGTCATCATCATCTTGATTAGCATTCCTTTACCTCGTTCGCAGTTAAGCAACAAACTATGCTCGGAAATTCTGCAATTTTTATTTTCTTTTAATGTTGCATCAAGTAAAATGGTTTATTCACCCATTCGTATGTCGGTCTGTCCGTCTGCCTGCCGGTACATTGAAAAATTTTGTTGTAAACAACAACAACAGCTTTGAAAAAGAACAAAAAAACGGAAAACTCGAGTGCAATTGATGTTACTTGGCAAATATTTGCATAGATGTTATGTGTATTTGTACACACACTCACACGCGCACACACCAATACCCATACATTTGCTCTCGGAACATAATCATGGACCTACATAATTCTATGTTGTGTATTAAAGCATTCGAAACAAAAAAAAATGGCATCAGCTAACATTGTATCTGAATCAACATGCTGCCGCTGCATTCATCTTTGCATCCATCCACTTCACCTTCTCGCCTCGTCCTCTTTCAAGTTCATTACCAGTGGCAACGGTTGAATGCTTTGCCAAAGGACATGCACAGAAGGCGAGCGAATCGACAGCCAGCCACCAAACCCACAGCCAAGTTCAGTGTCTACTACACACAACATAGATGATTGTGCAATTATTGTAATCGCCTAAAAGCATGCAGCATTTTTTCCATTTCAAAGACAAAATGTCAAAAAGGACATCAGCGATACTTTTTGATGTTTTTAAGAGTTTTTTTTTAAACGACCTTCTTTTGAGGAGACTATGTAAGATGTCAAAGAAGACCTTTTGGGGGTCATCAATCCTATTACATTTATTAATGAGCAGGAGATATAATCAAAAATAGATGCCTTATGAAGGTTTTCCACACGAAAAAAAATTACGAATTTTAAATTAAAAAATTCTAAAATATTTTAATATTTAAAAAATACACGAAAATTTGGAAAAAGTTTACGTATTTTTGAAAAAAAAAAATATTTAAAAAAAATCCCTGTTAACTGTTGAGAAAATATTGTGTTGTTGCAAAATGGTCAGGCTTACTCCCTTTATTGTTGTTTTTATAAAAACAAAGTTTATTTTTAAAAAATCCACGAATTTTTGAGAACAAAATTTACAATTTTAAAAAATCCACCAATTCAAAAAAAAAATACAAATGTTTTTGAAAAAATATTTTTTTTAAAAATGCACAAATTTGTGAAAAGTATTTTTAAAATGTCAACGAATTTTTGAGAAAATATTTTTAAAAAAGTCCTCAAATTTTTAAAAGGAAAATTTAAAAAATCCAGAGAATTAGAAAATAAATAAAAAATAGAACAATGTTGGCATGTTTATCGGGATATCGTAGAATTTTTTTGCAAAATAGTTAGGCTTAATCTCATTATTGTTGTTTTTATAAAAACTTTTTTCAAAAATACATGAATAATGAACAAATCATTTTTAAAAGATTATTTTTTTAATTTTTAAATTCCACGAATATTTAAAAGGAATTTTCGAAATCTATTTTTGGAAAATCCACGGATCATTAAAGGAATATTATTGAAAAAAATCCAATAATTTGTGAATTCTAGTTTTTTTAAATTCCTTAAAAAATCCACATATTTTTGAGAAAATATTTTTAAAAAAATCCAGAAATTTTTGAAAATATATTAAAAAAAAAACAGAAGTATATCGAAAAAATCCACAACTTAAACAATATATTTGTAAAAAATTCAAGAATTTTTGAAACGTAAAGAAATATTCTTGAAAAAAAAAATCCATTCATTTATGAATTCTACTTTCGAAAATTCTTTAAAAAAATCCATTAATTTATGAATACTAGTTTTGAAAAATTCTTCAAAAATACACGATTAATAATATCCCCTAATTTTGTAGAAAATGTTTTTAAAACATCCAGACATTTTTTTAAATAAAATTTAAAAAATGCACTCATTTAAAAAATCTACGAATTAAAAAAAATTATTTAAAAAATCCACACATTTAAAAAACAAAAATATATTTAAAAAATCTACGAATTATAAATATTTATTTTTAAAAAGTCCACGAATTAAAAAGAACTATTTTTAAAAAATCCCCGATTTATTAAATATTTTTTTAAATCAATTATCTATAAAAAAAATTTAAACATCCCCTTTTTTCTCGAAAAAGTATACTAACTCCACGAATATTTTAAAAAAGTTTAAAAAAAATCTGCGAATGTTGAAATAAATAGATTTAAAACTAACGAACTTTATTCTTTAATCCAAGAATTTTTGAAATCTATTTTCAGAGAATTCTCTAATCATTGAAGAAATATTCTTGAATAATATTTTTAAATGTCTACTAATTTAGTTTCGGAAAATTCTTAAAAAAAATCCACTATTATTGCTCTGTTGGTCCCTCAAAAATATTCTTTAAAAATCCATGATTATTGCTCTGCTTGTCCCTTAAAAATATTCTTTAAAAATCCACGATTAACGCTTTAAAAATATTCTTTCACAAATCCGAGATTATAAATTTACTAACAAGTGCCCGCTACTTTGTCAGCGAAAAGTCCACCATAAAATTTAAAAATCGTTTCAACAGTTGAGGTCTAACCTCAAATTTAGTACCATTTGGTACATTTTACACATTTAATACACATTTCCAAAACCACCTTCATATACCAAACTCACATTCCAACATTGATTCTCATATGAAGTTTCAAATGTTTACCCTATCCGTTCACATAATACCAAAATGGAATCATATTAGAAGTTTAGTAAAATTTTAGAACTTTTCATAACCTTAAAGTTGGCGTTTGGCAAATACCCTTCGGTTAATCTATTCTGCACTCCATCAGTGACTCTCATTCTAAATTTCGTTTTTGCAATACAAAGTATTCCAGTTTTTTTGTACCCCTTTAGTACGATTTTCCAAACTTATCACACGACTACGCAGATTGAGCCGTTTAGTCTAGACGTTGATTCTCAGTCAGTCAGATAGTTACTCTTTTACTTAAAAAATATTCTTTAACAAATCCGCCATCATAAATCTATTCATCCTTGAAAAATCCTTCAAAACACCCACGATTGGTGGTCTGCTCGTTTCTAAAAAAAGTCCTCTTCAAGTCTTCAGCCTTTGTTGATATTTGGAAAACATTTGTCAAAAGTCCACGAATATAAGTCCTTTCGTCCTTATAAATTATTCTTAAACAATCTAGATTTCCTTACTATTTCTTATCGGGCTTTTTTTGTCAGATTATTTTTAGAATGAAAATAAGATTTTATTTCATTTTTGCTCGACGTTTTGTTTGCGTTTTTTTTTTAACATTATTAAGAGCCTATTTATTTAAAATTCTGCATTTATTTTAGTTTTCATACAGCTTTTTGGATGCAATACAGATTTTCGGTTTTTTTTACATTTAAATTTCCGTTTGAAATAATTAGCTATTCAATTTATTCCTTAATTCAATTTTTTTCATTTAAGACTTCAGTCTTTCTGTTATTCGTTGAACGTATATTTCCAAAAAATCATGTTTTTTTTTATTTTTTTAATACGTATTTATTTGATTATACACAAATTTTTATTATAGCAATAATTAATTGCATTCTTTGCATAATTCAATGCATTGTTTACTTCACTTTTTGCCTTTACTGTTGATTTACAAACTAAACACAGCCTTTGACCACAGCCATATGTTTGCTACCAGTTGATTCTGAGAGCGAGAGACAACTCAACACAGCGTAAGATCATGTTATTGTTCTGCCGTTGTTGCCAACCAGAGACAAATTCATTAATAAATTAAAGGTCTTAAAGATTTATTAAAATGTTTATTATAATTATATATTATATGTTTATTTTAATTATTTATTTATTTTAAAATTAAAAAGAAAAATCCTAATTATTAATTAACATTCAACCCTTTGACCTAGCATCATTTCTAATTATATATAAAATTGAATGTTAAGAACATTCTCCCAGAAAAGTAAGGTGATGGCAACCCTGTTGGCTGATAATAAATATTCCGCACACATCGTATTAGATAACACCCGCTGGCCAGCATAGTCTAGAATTCAGGCCCCCAATCACATCACCTGTTAATTAGGGAGTTGTTTTTTTTTTTAATATTTCACAAAAAATGGCTCTACGTTTAGCTGCCCGTTCTTTGGCCAAATTGGCCCGCGGTCAACACCAAACGGCTGTGCTCAGCAGAAGCTTGACCCACTATCCCGTCAACGATCAAATCTTTGGTTTGGATGAGGAAAAGCAAAAGCTGCGTGAAACTGCTTTCAATTTCTTCCAAAAAGAATTGGCTCCCTTTGCCAAGGACATTGATAAGAACGATGATTTCCCGTGAGTTGTGCAAAATTTTCCAAAAGAGGTTTTTTTGATAAATAATGTGGTTGTTTTGAAAAACTTGTAGAGATATTCGTAACTTCTGGAAGAAAATGGGTGATTTGGGTTTCTTGGGTATAACTGCCGAGCCTGAATACGGTGGTACCGGTGGCAGTTATTTGGATCATTGTATTATTATGGAGGAAATTTCACGGTAGGTGGCCTGATGATGATGATGATAGTGGCAAAATTATCAGTTGTTTATTAATTTGTTGTTGTTGTTCTTCAGTGCTGCTGGTGGTATTGCCTTATCTTATGGTGCCCATTCGAATTTGTGCATCAATCAGTTGACCAAAAATGCCACACCCGAACAAAAGGAGTTGTATCTGCCCAAATTGTGCAGTGGTGAACACATTGGTGGTTTGGCCATGTCTGAGCCTGGGGCCGGTTCGGATGTTGTCTCCATGAAATTGCGGGCCGAACGTAAGGGTGACTACTATGTTTTGAATGGTACCAAATTCTGGATTACCAACGGCTCCATTGCTAATACCTTGATTGTCTACGCCAAGACCGGTACCAGTGCTGCTGATAAACATGGCATCACAGCTTTCATTATTGATACTGCCGCGGAGGGTTTCAGCATTGCCCAAAAGTTGGATAAATTGGGTATGCGTGGCAGCCCCACCTGTGAATTGGTCTTTGATAATCTCAAGGTGCCGGCCAAGAATATTTTGGGTCAATTGAACAAGGGTGTGTATGTTTTAATGTCTGGCTTGGACTTTGAACGTTTGGTGCTGGCTGCCGGCCCTGTGGGTCTGATGCAAGCCGCCGTCGATGTTGCCTTCGATTATGCCCATCAACGTAAACAAAAGGGTCAATTGATTGCCGAATTCCAATTGATGCAGGGTAAAATGGCTGATATGTACACCACTTTGAGTGCCTGCCGTTCGTATTTGTACAGTGTGGCTCGTGCCTGTGATGCGGGTCATAATAGCTCCAAGGATTGTGCTGGCGTGATACTTTACTGTGCCGAAAAGGCCACACAAGTTGCCTTGGAAGCAATTCAAACATTGGGCGGTAATGGTTATATCAATGAATATCCCACAGGACGCATTATGCGTGATGCCAAGTTATATGAAATTGGTGCTGGCACCTCGGAAATTCGTCGTTGGCTCATTGGTCGCCAATTGAATTTGGAATATAAGTAAATTAATGGAGGCCAGTTGGTTGTGAGGGAAGTTGTTGGAACCAGATTGCATTTATTTTTGTAAACATATCATGATAACCTTTTGTCCTTAAGTTTTAATGTTTGTGTTTTTTTTTAATTATCTTCAAGACTAAATGTTGCATTTATATTTCAAACGTATTTTTTATATACAAATTTAAAGCTGGTGATTTTTTTATGTGTAAAACACTATAAATTGTTAAATGTTGTGGCAATTAATGAAAATAAATATTTTTACAGAAAAAAAAAATATTTTTTGAAAACGAGAGTTTTTTATAAATATTTTTTTTAACCTAAATTTTTAAAATTATTTTTTCGACATTGATTTTATAGAAGTGTTTCCCAACATGCATTTTTGAAATTATTTTATGAACGCGGATTTTTAGGAATAATTTTTTTTTGACTTAGATTTCCTAGGAATACAGATGAAAAAACAGCAACCAACTTCAGACTGCTGCCAGTTCTAAGCCACTTGTCCGACAGCTGTTAAAATTATTCCAGTGATAACTCATTATATTGTTTACAAGCGTACAAAAGCATAGTGGTGAGAATTTTCCAGAAAAAAGGTCATCCGTGATGGAATTCAAGCGTGATAATGCGATTTCTTTATATTTGGCTGGAAAACCACAAGAGGCTAGCGTTAGAGCACTCCAGCATTTAAATGTGAATAAATCTTTTGAGTCTCGTACCATCGCTCGTTACCGTGATACTGATACTGGTAGCGTAGCCAGTAGCGACGTCAAGGAAGTGGACGGAAGAAAACAGCAACATCAGCAGATATGAAAATGGCCCTTGAGCTTAACATATGGCAATATTCCATTCGGCAAATATTGAAAAATGGGTTAGGGGTAAAGCCATTGAAATTCCAAAAAGTGCAAGAACTTACACCGCAACAGAAAGAAAATAGACTCAAAAGAGCTAAAGAGTTTTCTCCGTCTCCGATGAGAAAAAATTCGTTGTCCGGCAGTTTGTAAACAAACAAAATGATCGTGTTTACCTGCCTAAGAGGTCAACTGAAAATGTGCACTTTTGGTTGGCCACCAGAACTCAAGCGCCGGCCATGGTGATGGTGTGTGGTGGTGGCCACCATAACAGCCGATGGTCGCTCTCCGCTCGTATTAATCGACCTTGGCATCAGAATAAATGCCGAATATTATCGCGAAAATATTCTGAAGGGTGTATTAAAGCCTTGGGCACGCAAATATTTTGGCCGCAGACCTTGGACATTCCAACAGGACTCAGCACCAGGCGCACTGCACTCAGCACCCGCTACCCACAAAATGGTTACAAAATGAGGTTCCTCGCTTCATTTCCAGTGCACAATGGCCACCAAAATCTCCGGATACCAATCCGTTGGTCTGTTCTGTCTCGAGTATTTTCGAAAGCAAGGTTGGCGCTAAAAAATACCAAAGTGTGGATCACCTCAAGCAAGCGCTTCGCCGGACATGGGCCAAAATACCGCAGAGTAACATTGGGGCAGCGGGAGACGATTTCATTGGCCGTTTGAAGGCCATAATTCGTGCAAAGGTGACCAATTCGAACAAATCGAGTTTTATTTTAAAATTTGATACTATTTCCGACATTTTTTGCTCTCTTTCAATAAAATTTAAAAAAAAATATGAAAATCCTGCCTTTTGACCTTGTTGCAGTTTTTTTTATCTCACCCTGTATATATAGAAGATTCAAGATAAAATTTGTTCGCCGATAACAAATACGAGAAAGAAAGCTTCTCCTAGATTTCTCTTCACCTACCTGATGGTAGACACAGGTTAACGTGTAAACACCGGGCCAACGTGGTGCTGTGAATTTAAATTGATTTTCCTACATTTCGACCAAATTTGTGACATGATAAGGTGCTGTCAATAGACATTTATGGCGTTTGACTTTGTTAGTTTTTTTTATCTCACCCTGCATAGAAATACTTATTTTAAGTTTGATTAAAAACAAAACATTTTTTTTTATTCACAACGAAAAAAATATGGATTTTTTTAAGAGGGGAAAACCTCGGATTTTGTCGACTATTTGGACCAACAGACCACTAAACATGGATTTTAAAGAATTTTTGTCATAATTTTCAGTCCAATTTATTTATTTTTTTTAAATTTTCATGTTTCTTGCCGTCTCTAATAACGTTTGATAATACCTACAGTACCATATTGTGAATTCATGCAATGGCATCCCTACCTTGGCTAATTCATACAAAATCTAAAGCATATCTTAGGGGATAACATTTTTTCGGCCTTTTATTTGCATCCCTCAAAGTATGCTCTGGATTTTGCTCAACAAATGTAGCACACACCTTTCTATCGAATTCTGTTCGCCTGGTGTTTTGCCAAAATTACAGAATCGAGCCGCACAGAAAAAACCGGGGAATAAAAAACTCTCCCCCACAGCCAGTTTTATTGGTTTTCTGGGTTTTCTTTTCATATTCCCACCACAAATAACTTCCTTAATAAAAAAATCAATTTAATTTTTGTTTTTTTTTTTTTTTTTTAATATTTTATTTTTTTTATACACAAAATGACATAAAAATACACATACACATTCAATTTTATTATTTTTAATTAATTAATTATAAAAAAAGTATTTTGTTTTCTTGTATTATACACATATATATACGCAAGGATTCGGATAATGATCATTCAGAGTATGATGTATATATACAGAAATATTATAAAGAATACATATTATATTTTATTATAGAAGACAAAAAGGCTAGGCTGACTTGACTTGTGGACAAAATTTGGCCTTGATATTTTTTTTAAATTTAAAAAATTGTTTTTTTTTTTTGAAGTTCTTATGAAAATATGCATGCATACAAGAAATATAGATAGATAAATTATTATTAATAAATAAAACAATAATTGAAATTGGGTATAATAATTATTAAAAGGTTATTTTAGGGTTTTTAGAAAAGTATTTTTTTTTTCTTTAAATTTAAATTGATTTTTTTTAATTTTTATTTTAGAAAAATTGTTAGTATCCCATAGTAAGTAAGAGTAAGTATTATATTATTTTTAATTAATTAGTAATTTTATATTTTTAAATTTAATTATTTTCGATTTTTTCCTCTTTTGTAGTTTTAATTTTTCTTTTTCGTTTTAGTAAAAAATATGGTTTCCAAAATTATTATTGGCAAAAACATTGGCATTACAATGAATGTGCTTTTCTTCTGGTTTATTGGTTTGAAGAGCTGTGAAGTATTGTTTTCTTTTTAGTTCTATAAGTTATAGCATTTTATATATTAAATTTTAATACAAATCAAATTGTTAGATTTTTTAATAAAAAAAACTAGTTTTTGTTACACTTAAAAGCACTTTTGGCAATTGTTTTTTTCTCGTTTTGTTTTTTAATACCATCCATAAAATTATTTCATAAAATAGTATTTTTTCCTTCTTCTTCTTCTTCTTCTTCTTCTTCTTCTTTTTATTCGTGTATATTATTACTATTATTTTTCCAAACGAAAACTATGCGATTCGGTTTTCTTTTCGGTTCGTGTTTCCGATGTGGTGGAGAAGGTTTTGCGTTCCATAACACGTTGCGTCATTGAGGTTAGCCGCTGGGAACCCTGATCGATGAGGCTCACCTTACCACCAGATTCGCTGTTCAATGTCATTTGGCTAAAGCTGGATTCCAGGGGTTTAACACCGGTTTCGGAGTTCTTGTCGAAATTGCGGGTTTCATATCTGGATGAAAATAAAAAAGAAATTAATAAATATTTTTTTTAGAAATATTTAATTTTTGTTTTGCGAAAATTTTTGAGAAAAATTTTAAATTTTTTTGGAAAAATTTATTTTTTTTTTGTAAAAATGTAAAAATTTTTTTTATAAAAATTTAAATTTTTTTTAGAAAAATTCATATTTTTTTAGAAAACTTCTTTTTTTAGAAAAATTTAATTTTTTTTAGAAAAATTAAAATTTTTTTGTACAAAATTTTAATTTTTTTTTACAAAATTGTAAGATTTTTTTCTACAAAAATGTAAGATTTTTTTTGAAAAAATTGTTTAATCTAAGTTTCAAAAAAAAAAACTATTTTTCAAAGAGTATCCGACCTAAGACTGATATGAATATTAAAACGTGCCAGATTTGGACTATATCGACTACTTCCTATACTTTATATGAGATATGTACAAATTTTTGGAAAATGTGGAAATATGCGTGAGGTACCAGGTATATATATTTCATCTAATACAGATAAAAATATTGGTCTGTGCAAAATTTGAAATTGACAGATGTAAGTATTGGAAATTTTAGCCCTCTGTGGGTGAGGTACCAGAAGGGGCTGGCAGATATGTCCCATCTTCACACCAGACCTTGGGTTAATTAAAATATTGTGATCTGTGTGAAGTACGAAAGCAACCGGATGCTCATTTCAGATTTTATGATCGTTTTTGTTATTCAAAACTTTGACCCTTTGTGGAAGGGGTACCAGAAGAAATGTTCCGATCGCTGCCATCTTTATAACATATCTTGTTTTGATTAAAATATATTGGGACGTTCCAAGTCTGAATAGAATCGGACGTAAGGTTCGTGTTTTATGAGCTTCATGAATATTCAAAATTTTGAACCTTTGTGGGGGAGGTACCAGAAGGAGTGGTCCGATACATTCCATCTTCACACTAGACCTAGACTAGATAAAAATATTGTGATGTGTGAAATACGAAGACAACCGGATGCTTATTTAGGATTTTATGATCGTTTTTGTTATTCAAAACTTTGACCCTTTGTGGGGGAGGAACCGGAAGACATGGTCCGATCTCTACCATATTTATGACAGATCTTGTTTTGACTGAAATATTGGGATGTTCCAAGTCTAAATGGAATCGGATTTTAATTTCGCGTTTTATGACCTTCATGGATACTTCAAATGTTGACCCTTTGTGAGGCAGGTACCAGAAGGAGTGTTCCGAAATTTCCCATTTTCACACCAGACCTTGGGTTAATAAAAATATTGTGATGTGTGTAATTTGAAGACACATACGTCACATTTTATAAGAGTTATAATTATTCAAAATTTTGACCCTTTGTGGGAGATGTATTTGATGGAGTGGACCGATATTGTCCATTTTCCCACCTGATCTAGCACTGATGGAAATATTAGGATTTGCAAAGTTGGAGCAAAATCGGATTATCATTTCTCTTTCTGTGCAGTAATTTATTTTCTTTGAAAATGTTGACATTTTGTGGGGGAGGTACCAGAAGAAGTGGACCGATATTACCCATCTCCTAACTCGATCTGTGTTTGACAATAATATTACGATGTACCAAGTTTGGATCAAATCGGATACTCCCTTCGAGAGTTATCAGATACTCGGATACTCCCTTCGAAAGTTTCGCTTCAAAATCATTTCCGAAAAAAAAATTTTTTAAAGGAACAACATTCCCATGTAACTGGATCCAAAAACAATTTTGACTTTTTCCCATTACTACCCTAGTTTTAATCATGAATTTAATTTCCAGATTATAATTTTGTTGATCTTTCCCACTTACCTCGATGTATAACCTTCATAGTTTTGTCCCGGATACGAGGTATTGCTGGTTATTTGCACAACACCACCCTGGCCGAAGGTCTTATCGTGCAGATCCTGGACGCATGCCTCCAAATTGCGATTCACCGTCGTTGTGTGTTGCTGCTGCTGCTGTTGTTGTTGTTGGGAATTTGTGGTAGTAGATCTTAATTGAGTGGTTTCAAAACTTTGTTGTTGTTGTTGTTGGTAGTTACTATTGTTAGTGGGTGTTAGAGGACTGGATGGATGTGAACGAACACCACCACCATTGGTACCGCTCGTAGTCACCGGACTACCAGGATAGGGACGTGGCACAGCATTGGCTGTCAATTTGGGATTCGAACGGAAAGTGTGTGTGGCCGTTTGCATTTGGGATATTGTTGTCGATAGGGGTGGGGGAGGTGGTGGAAAGGCTGTGGCATCACTATCATTGTGATTCTGGGGGGTTTGGGGTCGTGGTGGTGGTGTTGGGGACACAGCAGCCGGATGATGGAAGTGCTGTGGATTGTTGGCATAGTTATAATGGTGTTTAGTATGTTGTTGTTGCTGTTGTTGGTAGGTCATGTAACTGGGTGAGGCTGGTGGTTCCATGTGACTACCACTACCACCACCACCACCGTAAGCACCGGCCGGTGAACGTGTCAAAGTCTACGACAAAAAAGATGAATACAAATACATTTCAGAGGTTAGTTTTGTTTTTAGGCGGGTTATTTTACAAAACACCATAAATGAGTGAAAAAAAAATTACAAAAATAAAAAAAAAAAACAAAAGTGAAAAGTGTAAAAAACGTATTAGAGTGGTGGGAAATTGAGATTCTATTACACATCATCATAGATTAGAAATGGTCTATGTAAAGGCCCTAAGAAATGTTCTTGGTTTTAAATTTTCTTCCCTAAAAAAATACAATTTTGGAAGAAAACGAATGGGCATTCCAGTAGGAGGACGTAAAACTGACTAAAAATCTTCCATAATATGGTGCACTAATAGCAAATTAGAATATATTTTATAAGAAGAGGTTAGTCTTAAAATAGGACACTAAAATACTTTCGGAGAAAAGATTGAAAAGTTCTTCTAATTAAAAAAAAAAACTAAGCTTCTCTGCAAGTAGACAAATTGAAGGTCCATAATTAGGAGATTTAATGTCCCTCCATATTTTCCAATAGAACATTGAAAAGTTGTTCTAATAGAAGTATAAGTACTTCCAATCTAGACGATTATAAGTCGATTGTTAGAAGATTTGAAAGCCTTCCCTTATAATAAAAAAATGCCTTCTGCATGGACACTAATGGCATTTCCTAATGGGAGAAAGTCTTCCAAATGGGAATTAAAATGCCGTCTAAACAAAAATGAGGGACTTGCAAGAAGGTTAATAAAATTTGCTAATGGGATACTGAAAGGTCTTCCAGATGGAACTTAAAATGCCATAAAAACTAGACTAAAAACATTCCTTAAATAGGAAGGCATAATAGACAAGATTTATAGGTCTTCGAATTTAAGAATAACAAGTAAAATAGTATCAGTCCGTTTTGCCGACAGATGTATACCTCAGCCTTGAGTTACGTATATTCATACCTTTGACCCTCCGAAGCAGTTGGCCCAATATTGACCAATTCGTATCTGACCTAAGACTAATATAAATATAACAATGTGTCAGATTAGGGTTATATAGATGGCATCTTCCTATACACATTTTTTGGGACCGAAGTATTCCATTTTCATACTATATATAATACAGATAAAAATATTGTTATGTGCAAAAATTGAAGGAAATCAAAAATTTATATCCAATATTATGCGAAAACATAAATTCTGATAAATTACATATTCATATCAGATTTCCGGTTAAGAGAAATGTTTAGATATAGCACGTTGTAAAGAATCGCCGATTTGCTTCCCAACTTAAGTATTGGAAATTGTGACCCTTTGTGGGTGAGGTACCAGAAGGAGTTGGCAGATATATATCATCTTTACAACAGATCTGGTGTGAGCAAAAATATTTGGATGTATGAAATTTGAAGAGAGTTGGATGCTTATTATTTCGATTTCTTTGAGCGTTTTGTTTTTCAAAAATCTTAAACCCTATGTGGGGGAGGAGTAACCAGAAGAAATGGTCCGATCTGTACCAACTTTATAACAGATCTTGTGTTGATGAATATATTAAGATATGTCAAGTCTGAATAGAATAGGATGCTAATTTCGCGTTTTATGAACTTCATTGGTACTCAAAATTTTAGCCGTTTGTGGGGAAGGTACTTGATGAAGTAGACCGATATATTCCATCTTCACACCATACCTAGGGTTGAGAAAAATATTGTGAAGTGTGTAATTTGAAGAGAATCGGATGCTTATTTTTGATTTTGTGATCGTTTTTGTTATTCAAAACTTTGACCCTTTTTGGGGAGGTACCAGAAGGAATGGGCCGATCTCCACCATATTTATGACAGATCTTGTTTTGACGAAACTATTGTATTTTATGGCCTTCATGAATATTCAAAATTTTGACCCTTTGTGGAGGAGGTACCAGAAGGAATTGTCCGATCTCTACCATCTTTATAACAAATCTTGTGTTGATGGAAATATTAAGATGTGCCAAGTCTGAATGGAATCGGATGCTAATTTGGTGTTTTATGGCCTTCATGAATATTCAAAATTTTGACCCTTTGTGAGGGAGGTATTCCATCTGCACACCAGACCTTGGATTATTAAAAACATTGTGTTGTATGTAATTTGAAGACAATCGATATCACGTTGTTTAAGAGTTTTAATTATCTCAAATTTTGATCCTTTGTGGGGAAGGTACTTGATGGAGTGGACCGATATTGTCCATTTACGCACCTGACCTAGCACAGATGAAAATATTAGAATATCCAAAGTTGGAGCAAAATCGGATTATCCTTTCTCTTTCTGTGCAGTAAATTATTTTCTTTAAAAATTTGGACATTTTGTGGGTGAGGTACCACAGGGAGTGGACCGATATTGCCAATGTCCGATGTCGATCCAAGTTTGACAATAATATTACGATGTACCATGTTTGGATCAAATCGGATATTCCCTTCGAGAGTTATCGTGCTCACCAGCCGGACAGACAGACGCACGAACGGACCGGACGGATCGACCCCAAATGTCCTGAGACGGATTTGGTAAAAAGAGACATATGGTCTAAACCCGATATTTTGATGAGGCAAGTTTTGGCCGTATCAAATGATATATACCCTCTAGCCATATGGCTGAGGGTATAAAAATCCAATATATAGACCTTTAAGCAGAGGATAAAGGGCACTTTTAATTGCAGAAAAAAGTGACTTGGAAAATAACTGAGCTACTTTCTAATAGAAGGCTGATATGTGTTCTAATAGAAGTATGAAATATAATCCAAATGAGACTGAGAGGTCTTATTTTTAAGGAAGACTAAAGGGCCATGTAATAGAAGATGTAGGAGTCTTCTAAAAGATCCAAATACATTCGAAGCGGGAGAGACTCGGATTAGAAATAGAAATTGATAATTTCAATGCATTTATGCAACCATTTCTAATTGAAGGCTTAAAGAACTTAAAAAAATATTGAAAGACTGTAAAAGGGGTTATCGGACCTGATTTAAATGTAGGCTGAGAGGTCTTCTTAAAGCAGACTGAAGGGCGGTGTAATAAAAGATTTAAGAGCCATTTAAAAGACCCAAAATGGAAACGTCTTGTTTTAAATTTTGAGAAATCTTCTAATTAGAGTTAGACTTAGTGAAAAAAACTCCCAAAATTTCAATACATTTAGACCATTCTAATATAAAAAATATACGATATGATGATGTGCGGAGATTCTCTACCTTGTTTTCATTAGCTTATTCTAATATTATTAATTTTAAATTATTTTTAATACGAAATTTGATTTCCCCAGGAAACCCAATTTCGTTCCGAAACGGAATGTTGATGTTAAGTTATTTTAAAATTAATTAAATATTACTTGCTTTACATATTAGTGACTTAAAATACAATTCAAAAATATAAATTATTTAAAAAACTATTAAATACAAATTATCAAAAACATTATCATTTTTAACATTGTCCACAAACGTAAAGTGTAAATCACAAAAAATTTAAAAGTGATTTTGTTTCTGTGTCTGTGTCTCTGTATCAATGGATCTGTGTTGAATGAAAACATTTAAAACTGAATATTTAAAAAAGTATCAAACAAACAAACAATATATTATGAAGAAAGGAAAATGGGGGGAGAAAGAAAGAAAACAAAATCGAAATATGTATTAAAAATAATTCATACATTATTTTGACTCCTGTTCAGTGTGCCATATGTCGACTGGGCATATTCCGAATCACTTTCATCGGTGGTGAAACCCTGGGCATTCTTTGCCCGATTACGGGCATGACGAATAAGTACGAGTTTTTGTCGCGCCTCTTCCAATTCCTTTTCCATGCGCAGTACATGCGAACGGGCATCGATTTCTTGGGCCATACCATCAACCATGGAAGTGTTGATGGTCAGGGTGCGTTCCTCTTCCTCCTTAAGGCCTTGCTGGGCAGCTCGTACCAAATTATCGGTGGACTTGATGACAGCATTACCGGCCGCCTGTAGACGTCTGCCAGCTTCGGAATTGGGATTTGATTTAACTTTGCAGGCAATCAAGAGCTGAGCCGTGGAGGCAGCAACTTGTTTGGCTGTAGAAATCAACATTTCTTCGGTACCACTGCCGCGTACAAGATTTTGAGCAGCCTCCACCAGACTATGCGTGGCAGCAGCCACAAGGCGAGCAGCTGAAATCAAACCCTCTGACCATTGACCATCATCGGAATTGTGAAGGGGACGATAGGACACTTTGCCTTGATCGATTAGTTCACGTTGGGCGGCATTGGCGGCGCGCACCAAGGCTGATGAGGCAGCCATAATACCCTTGGCAGCTTCCAAGATCATTTCATCGAATTTCATGTTTTGATCGAGTTCAATCTGGACAAGAAAATGACAAAAAAATATTATTTAAAAATTTGTTATTAAAATTTTTTATTTTTTATGGTTTAATAAATTTAGATTTTTTTACTTAAATCTACAAAACACCATTGCGATCGATCCATCACGTTTGCGGATTTTTTTTTAATTTTTTTACATGTTATTATGAATATGATTTGGGGTTTGATTTTGTTATTAGAATGGGATGTCGTTGCAGCATTTGTTAGTTGTTTCCATGTCCAATCACAATAATAATATGTTTGATTCCTGGGTGTACTTTATAAATGCAACAACCAAGAATATCAAACATATCTTACTGGAATTAACATATTCGGGTATACTTCCACCATATAGTTTAGTTTTGTTAATAATAAATTAAGCAGGTTTTTATGGACACGCACATACATATACACAAGAAAAACACACTTAGGATTTAAGGTTATATTTACAAATTTAAATTATTGAAATATTCAGAATATTAATGATGATCCTAGCCATAAATTCGAGTTAATTAAAATCTGTATTTCGAAATTGGTTTCCTAAATTTCTATGAATCTTAAAGAGGTTTTCTTATAAGGCTATTAAAACTACAACCATGGATTTTTTGGGGCGTACTTTACTAAGGAACTCTAGTAGAAGACCTTTCTTTATCTCTATAATTTGGTTAACCATTACTCCTTACAGATATGAATCCTAAAATTCTGTAAAAATATTAAGAATTAAAACACGTCGTGTAATGAGTTCCAAAATTCATTTGAGACAAAGATTTAGGAGTCTTCTAAAAGACCCAAGTTGTAAAAGACTCGTTTTAAATTTTGAGATATAAAATCTAAAATTCTGCCAAAATCTTAAATATTCAAACAAGTTGTGTAATGGGTTCCAAAATTAATTTGAGACTGAAGGGCCATGTAATATAAGATCTAGGAGTCTTCTAAGAGACCCAAGTCGTAAAAAACTCGTTTTAAATTTTGAGACATCTTTCAATTAAAATTGGATTGAATGAGGTAATTTATAAACTTTCAATACATTTAGACCATTCTAATCTAAATAATATAGCATAGATTGATTTGAAGAGAATTTGAGACAAAGAGAGAGATGAAGAATATAAGGACATATTCGTACCATATCTCCGGTAATAAAAGGATCCATATGCTGGGACAACCATGGATTTTCTAGGGCATCCATTCCTGAGGAACTCTAGTGGAAGACCTTTCCTATTTCTATAATTTGGATAACCAATACCCCTCACAAATATAAAATCTAAAATTCTGCCAAAATCTTAAGTATTCAAACAAGTTGTGTAATGGGTTCCAAAATTAATTTGAGACTGAGGGCCTTGTAGTATAAGATCTAGGAGTCTTCTAAAAGACCCAAGTCGTAAAAGACCCGTTTTAAATTTTGAGACATCATTCAATAAAAATTGGATTGAATGAAGGAATTCATAAACTTTCAATACGTTCAGAACATTCTAATATAAATAATATACAATAGAATGATGTGAAAAGAATTTGAGGCAGAGAGGCAGAAATTATTAATTTAATTTAATATAAATTATAATAAAAATTACTAAATTGAATGCATTTATTAGTAATGAATGGCTAACTAAATAATCATCAAATCCTGTCGGCCCTGGGCCTTCAAATTTAATAAGAGGGTCAGTTTGGGAGTAATTTAAGGAAGGGATTTTAAAAATGTCTACAAAAAGATGAACTATTCGTATGATTGATATTCTCACATATGCTGAGGTTGTTGTTCGAGAAAGATTGCATATTTTTAGGCTCAGTATTTAAATTTAAGTGTCGAATTTTTATACCCTACACCACAAGATGGTCAGGGTATTATGTCTTTGTGCATTTGTTTGTAATAGGCAAAAGGAAACGAGATAGACCCATAGTTCCTTTTGATGATCGGCATAGAATCACATTCTGAGACGATTTATGCGTGTCCGTCCGTCTGTGCATGTATTTTTGTAAACAAATTACAGGTCGCATTTATTGCCCGATCCAGATGAAATTTTGCCAAGGACGAACCCTATTGAAATTGGAGATAATCGGTCAATATTTAGATATAGCCATATATATCTTTGTCCGATTTGCCATTTATGGTGCATCAAACGTGTAAAATCAGCCAAAATTGTATGGAATTTTGCATATTCGACCAAATTAGGCCTGAAAATACGTATGCCGAATTGGATCGGTTCAGATATAGCTATAGCTCCCATATGCATTCTTCATCCGATCTATTATTTTTGTCCTCCGCAGCAGTAATATGCACTCTGTAACAACGATATATGGGGAAATATATCAAATACAGCTCAGAAGTACCCTTGCTAAATTTTATAGAGATCGGTTTGGATTTGGATATAGCTGCCGATGTAAAGGGTGATTTTTTTGAGGTTAGGATTTTCATGCATTAGTATTTGACAGATCACGTGGGATTTCAGACATGGTGTCAAAGAGAAAGATGCTCAGTATGCTTTGACATTTCATCATGAATAGACTTACTAACGAGCAACGCTTGCAAATCATTGCAAATGGGCCCTAGAAAATTTGGCAGAAAATCCGCTTTTTTATCGACAAATTTTGTTCAGCGATGAGGCTCATTTCTGGTTGAATGGCTACGTAAATAAGCAAAATTGCCGCATTTGGAGTGAAGAGCAACCAGAAGCCGTTCAAGAACTGCCCATGCATCCCGAAAAATGCACTGTTTGGTGTGGTTTGTACGCTGGTGGAATCATTGGACCGTATTTTTTCAAAGATGCTGTTGGACGCAACGTTACGGTGAATGGCGATCGCTATCGTTCGATGCTAACAAACTTTTTGTTGCCAAAAATGGAAGAACTGAACTTGGTTGACATGTGGTTTCAACAAGATGGCGCTACATGCCACACAGCTCGCGATTCTATGGCCATTTTGAGGGAAAACTTCGGAGAACAATTCATCTCAAGAAATGGACCGGTAAGTTGGCCACCAAGTCATGCGATTTGACGCCTTTAGACTATTTTTTGTGGGGCTACGTCAAGTCTAAAGTCTACAGAAATAAGCCAGCAACTATTCCAGCTTTGGAAGACAACATTTCCGAAGAAATTCGGGCTATTCCGGCCGAAATGCTCGAAAAAGTTGCCCAAAATTGGACTTTCCGAATGGACCACCTAAGACGCAGCCGCGGTCAACATTTAAATGAAATTATCTTCAAAAAGTAAATGTCATGGACCAATCTAACGTTTCAAATAAAGAACCGATGAGATTTTGCAAATTTTATGCGTTTTTTTTAAAAAAAAGTTATCAAGCTCTTAACAAATCACTCTTTATATCTTCGTCCGATATGCCTTTTAATGTGCACCAAACGTGTAATATAAGTTCAAATGGGATGGAATTTGGCACTTACGACCAGATTGAGTCTAGAAACATGTATGTCAAATTTGGTAAGAATCGGTTCAGACATAGCTATAGCTCCCATATATATTGTTCATCATTTGTTGAATTTGTCCTGAACAGCCGTAATATTCGAGGTAATATATCAAATACAGTTCAGAAATACCATTGCCTAATTTTATCGAGATCGGTTCAGATTTGAATATAGCTCCCATATATATCTTTATCCGGTTTCAAGTTAATTGTGCACCAAATTGGTAGTACAAATTCTCACAAATTTCCCAAAAACTTTTATTTGTTATGTGAAGCACTAAAGTGGTGTAGGGTACTTTACTGGTCTTTTATTGTCAAATGTAACAATTTAAAGATTTGAGTTGGCATCTTCGAATTGATGAATTAACGAGTACTTTTGCTGGGGAAGTTTGCCTTAAACTAGGGGGGAGTTCTGATTCCTTACTATCACTATTGGATTGTAGCGATTTTAAATGTTGTTTTAATTTTTTTTTTGTTTACTTAACATATACACACACCATTATTATAAATATTAACTTTTTAAAACCATCACCAAGCATTTAAATTTAACATTAGTTTTGTTAGTTTAATTGAGGATATATGGAGGGTTTTTTTTGCACTTTTCCCAACTATTTTCCATAAATAGTGAGAAAAAATCATACCACTCCATAGCCCCAAAGCACTTAAACTTCTTACAAACTAGGGTAAAACACGAAAGCACTTTCAAGACACACACACACCCTTAAAACTAGACCAAGACCATTTTGTTAAAGAATTAAAAAAACCAAAATAACTTACCTTGACATCATCATTACGTCTGGGTCTCAATGAGGCCAATTTCTTGGCGGCTGCATCAATGGAGGCGGCGGCACCCAACAGCTCATTTTCAGCAATAACCGTGGGATCTTCGGGATCAACCCAATCACTGCCCTTAAGCAAACCAGCCATGGCCACCAAATCGGTAACACATTTCGCCACACGTCGCGACAAATGCATACGATCATCAGCCGAACAGTTGTGTAAAATACCCGTCAACAATTCACGATACGCCTCACCCACAGCAGCACCAGCTTCCAGGGTACGTTGACGTAAATCTTCAGTTTCGGCACAATTCCATGCCACTGTACGGCATACCAATAACATTTCCGAAATGGAACGTCTTCCGGTATTGGCGGCATTCATAATATCCTCTTGCAAATTGGAAGCACCAGATGCCACTGCCTTTGAGGTGGCCAGGGTGACATTCTTTGTGACACGTATCAAATCTTCAGGGCTGACACTGGCATTGCTGGTCGGTGGTGGGGAGTGCATGGACTACAGATTGAAAAAATAAATAAGTTTTATTTCAAATCAAATTAATTTTTTAAAATAAATATTACTTACCCTAATTTCCTGGGCAATGGCCTCAACAGCAGATTCCATAGCTCGCGTGCCACGCGTATGCTCATCTTCCACAGCCTTAACGGTTTTCAGCAACGAGGATACATTCAAAACCATAACCTATTTTTTTTTTTGTGTGTGTTGTATTGCAAATTTCATTGAAACACCATTAGCGGATATAGTTTCAAGTTCAAATTATTGATAGGAGAGTTGGATGGAGGGAGGGGGGTAGTAGAATTTATAGGAGCAAATAGTATGAAAACTACTACGTTCACACAAAAGAAGCTTGAACTAACTACTTTTTTGGTGTAACTTTTTTTTTGGAGGTTTTCTAAAGAACTTCGTAAAAATAATACATTTTCAGTATCGAAAAATTTCGCAGTTAAACTTCGAAGCCTATTCTAAGGGGTTTCATAAATATAAAAAATAAAATGTCATCTTCAAAAATATCAGAAAAATAATGGTTTCAAATATCGGCAAAATTTTTTTTTATCGTCAAAGGAGGAACAATAACAGCTCCATAACATGGCTTTGACCAATTTTTATATGAAACCCTTGGAATTTTTCCATGAGATGAGTTTACACGCTTATGGATATCTCGGTGTGATTGGAGGCATGTAGATTAGATCGAAGACGTAAAGAATGAAATGTTAATCACAATTTCGTCTCACAAAATGTTTACATATATATGTATATATTTATTAGTGGCATGAATAGACAGGACAATAGAATCTCTATGATATTTGGAGTAATGTGAAATGATTTGGAAAAAACTTATTTGGAATATATTTGGTTATTTGGAACAGAGGATATGAAAACGGTAATTGGGAGTATAAATGAAAATCTAACATTTATTGAAAATACTATTTATTGGAATTCAAATTTATAGCAGATCTTGTTTTCATGAAAATATTGAGATGTGCCAAGTTTGAATGGAATCGAATGTTAATTTCGTGTTTTATGAGCTTCATGGATATTCAAAATTTCGACCCTTTTTGGGGTAGGTACCAGAAGGAGTGGATCGATATATTCCACCTTCACAGCAGATCTTGTGTTAGTAGATATACTGTGATGTGTGAAATTTGAAGAGAAACGGATGCTTTTTTAGGATTTTATGATCGTTTTGGTTATTCAAAATTTTGACCTTTTGTGGGGGAAGTACCAGAAGGAGTGCTCCGATCTATACGATCTTTATAACAGATCTTGTTTTGATGGAAATATTGAGATGCACCAAGTCTGATTGGAATCAGATGTTAATTTCCCATCCCATCTTCACAGCAGATCTTGTGTTTATAGAAACACTGTGATGTGAGAAATTTGAAGATAATCGGATGCCTTTTTAAGATTTTATGATCGTTTTGGTTATTTAAAATTTCGACCCTTTGTGGGGGAGGTGCCAGAAGGAGTGGGCCGATCTCTACCATTTTCATAACAGATCTTGTGTTGATAGAAATATTGAGATGTTGCAAGTCTGAATGGAATCGGAAGCTAATTTCGTGTTTTATGAGCTTCATGAATATTCAAAATTTTGGACCCTTTGTAGGGGAGGTACCAGAAGTAGTGGACCGATTTATTCAATCTTCAAACCAGACCTTGGACTAATAAAAATATTGTGATGTGTGTAATTTGAAGCCAATTGGACTTGTGATGTAACATTTAATAAGAGTTATAAATATTCAAAAGTAGGACCCTTTGTGGGGGACGTGATAGATTGAGTTGACCGATATTGTCCATTTTCCCACTTGACCTAAAACTGATGCAAATATTGGGATTTGCAAAGTTGAAGCAAAATCGTATTAAGCTTTTTTCTTCTGTGAAGAAAAGCATATTCTTCTAAAAATTTCGAGGTACCAGAAGGAGTGGCCAGATATTGTCCATTTTCGCACCTGACCTAGAACTGATGCAAATATTAGGATTTGAAAAGTTGAACCGAAATCGGATTGTCCTTCTTAAATATTAAATTAAATATTTCCTTTGAAAATTTCGACATTTTTTGGGGGAGGAGGGAGTGGACCGATATTGCCTAACTCCGAAATCGAAGTTTGACAATAATATTACGATATTCTCTTCGAGAGTTATCATTCTCTTCACCAGCTAGACAGGCGGCCAGATGGACGGACATCGCTCGATCGACTCCAAATGTCCTGAAACGGATTTGATCCAAAGAGACAAAGAGAGGGTCTAAAACCGATGAGGCACGTTTTGGCTGTGTCAAATGATATATATCCTTTCTAGCCATACGGATGAGGGTATAACAAGGGAGATGTCACAAATATTGCCTGAATTTGAATTTAACTTGAAACCTGTTCACGAATAAATGTCAGTGGGTTCGGAGAGTTTAAATTTTCAACATTTCCTGTCGATCGATTTACATTGGGTGAACTAAGAAAAAAATGATTGCAAGGACCAGAAATGGGACTTACAAATTATTGAAATTGATTTATTGTGGAATATTCAGCGAATTTAGATCAACATAAATAGGCTGACCTCCACACTCTAGGAGTTTGGATCATTTTTTCCTTCACGATTTGAAGGCTTCATAGTTTATGCGAAATTTAGAGACATACAACAACGGCATATAGAAGATATCTACACGGTTTAAATTCTACTGACCGACCATTCGCCCTTTCTTAAGGCCTTTCCTAAGGCATTATTAATAATTTTAACTTATTTACCCTATCTCTAACTGAATTTTAAAATAACATCAGCAATATATGCATTAAATTAGTTTATTAATTCGAATTCATAAGATTTGAATTTGAATTTAACTTGAATCAGTACATGAATAAACATCAATGGGTTCGGAAAAAAATTTCAACAAACTGTCAATGTTTTCGATTTACATTGGATGAACTAAGAATAAAATGATTGCAGGGACCAAAAATGGGACATACGAATCATTGAAATTGATTTATTGCTGCATACCCAACAAATTTAGAACAACCTAAAGAGGCTGACCACCACCTCTAGGAGTTGGAATCATTTTCATCTTTACGATTTTAAGGCTTCATAGTTTATGGGAAATTTTGAGACATACAACAACAGCATATAGAAGATATCTACACGGTTTAAAGCCTGCTGACCGACATTTCGCCCTTTCTTAAGGCCCTATCTCTAACTGAATTTTAAATTAACATCAGCAAATATATACATTTAATTAATTTATTAATTCGAAATCGTTACACAAGTTATAAGGGGACAAATTTTTAAATATTTCATTTTTTTCGGGAATAAAGTTTACATTAAAAAAAAATATGCTACTTGATGGCGACGATGAAACGACTAGTCAAAAACATTTAAACAAAATACAAAAAAAAAAAAAAAAAAAAAATTATTTAAAAAAAATTATGGAAATCCGACAAGCATATTTCTAAAACCTAATTTCATAAAAATGATAAACATGGCATACATGTATACGTATATGAATGACTAATGAATTATTAAAGTTTAAACGCTTGGGCCATTGTAGCTTTGAGGAGGAACCATACATAGCCAATTCAATTCGATTTATTTTAAAATAATTTTAATATTAAATTTAGGTTTTTTTTTAATTTCGATCAACTCTTAAGCCAGCCAAGTCAGGCGTTTTCGTTCGTTCTAAAGATGATGGCTGAAAGACGCACACACATATGTATATGGATGGATAAAAAAAAGAACAGAAACGCGCGGGCACACACACACATATATATGAAGAAAAATGAATGGAGTAGAGAAGATTGTGTATGTAATGTAGAGGAGGCGACAACGGCAGCGCTCAAAGAATATCCTTTTTGTCTGATGATTTGTTGCTGACTTATGTGGTTAGTTTCGAGATAGCGGCAGTATTGCACAATTCTTTAAGCATCTATTTTTTGTGTTTTTTTCGGTTGAAATGAGAATAATGAAAACAAAACAAAACAAAAAAAAGAACAAAAACAAAATTTGTTTAATCATCACATCATTTTTTTCTTTTTGGTACAAATTTTGAATAAATCAAAAACAAGTTTCTGTGCAAGATTGAAGTAGTATTTGAGAAAAAAAAAAACATAAGCAGCAGCGCACCAGCAGCAAGTAGCAGAATATATATAAAAAAATGTGGGTGTTTTTTTTTTTTTATTTTCGTGGATGTGTGGAAAGAAGAAACACATAGCCTTTGTTTTTTAAAAAATAAGAGGAATAGCATTATCCTTTTAGCCTTAGTAAAACACAGATGTTTGGCCACAACAACACTATGGAGTTAGATGATGATAACCACATAACCTCAAATTACACCTAACCTAAAAATCTTTGAAAAAATGCAGCAAAGTTTTTTTAGTTACTTAAAGATATTGAATAATGACATGGACAAACATACATACATACAACATGATTGATCGTGCAATGATTTTTTGCAAGAGAAATGCAGAGAACACAGTACAACATAAAACAGGAAATATGGCAGATGATTCCTTTTTTATACCCTCCACCTGAAGTATGGAGGATGTATTAAGTTTGTCATTCCGTTTGTAGCACTTCGGAATATACATTTTAGACCTCACAAAGAATATATATATTTTCTGGATCAGCATAAAATTCTATGTCGATTTAGCGATGTCCGACCGTCTGTCCGCCTATGGAAATCATTCTAGCTTCCGAACGTAATGAAATAGGTTGATAACATTTTACTCAAAAGTATATAATATCTGCAGGACTTTTCGTATTGAAAATGGGCCATGTAGGTCCAGGTTTTGGTGTGGGCTCCATATAACGGTACCTCCCGATATTCGGTATTTGGTGATTTCAGCGACATTATTAACCGGAATTGTTTCCAATATAGTATTTGAAGTTCATAATGGATACTAGAGCCTATGACAAAAAATTGTCTGTGCAGGTCCACGCCTTCGTATAGCCCCCATATAACAGTACCTCCCAATATTCGTAATTTTAATGATTTTAGCGACATTATCCACTGGAATTATTTCAAATTTGGTATTTGAAGTTCGTAATTGATACTACAGCCTAAGACAGAAAATTGTCTGTGCAGGTCCACGTCTTCGTATAGCCCCCATATATATAGCCTCGCGATATTCGGTATTTTGATGATTTTAGCGACAGTAATAACCGAAATAATTTCAAATTTGGTATTTGAAGTTCGTAATGGATACTACAGCCTATGACAAAAAATTGTCTGTGCAGGTCCATGCCTTCGTATAGCCCCCATATAATGGTACCTCCCTAAATTCGGTATTTTGATGATTTTAGCGACATTATTCACCCGAATTGTTTCAAATTTGGTATTTGAAGTTTGTAATGGATACTACAGCCTATGACAGAAAATTGTCCGTGCAGGTCTACGTCCTCGTATAGCCCCCAAATATATAGCCTCCCCATATTCGGTATTTTGATGATTTTATCGACATTATTCACCGGAATTGTTTCAAATTTGGTATTTGAAGTTCCTAATGGATACTACAGCCCATGACAGAAAATTGTCTGCGCAGGTCCAGGTTTTAAACAGAATTTTAACGGATTTTATTTTTTTTTTTGAAAATTGCCAAATTCGTTCCAAATGGTGGAGGGTAGTCAAAATTCGGCCCGGCCGAACTTACAGCTTTTTTACTTGTTTGGTTTTTTGTTGTTGTTGTACTGTGTGCGAATGATAGCTGTTGGTTTTTACAAATCGAGAATGAGCGATGGATGAGTGGTCATAGTTTGGAAATTACACATTTGGCACATATAGGGATCGATTACGGCCTCAAAAAAGAGCTTTTAGCAATACAATACTGAAACAAGGGGAGAAGGGAACAAAGAGTAAGTGCAGTAAACCGTTTGGAAAAAATCCTTGCCATTAGAGAAAATTCGTAAAAAAAAGTCTTAAGGATATTGTTCACAACAACACGGTGCTAAACAGGGATAATTTGAGATGACAACTGAGAGCATAGCTCATTCCAAGGACATAACCTCAAAACTTTTGCGCAGGTCCAACTGAAATCGTTCACAATTATAGGTTACAACCCACAAATTTTGAGAAAGCAACCCAGGATATGTTCCATGTCTCAGACATAACCTCAAATTCGAATCTAATAGCACCGTGTTATTTTTTTTTATAAAAAAGTGTCTTAAAAAAGTTCACGACATTTAAAGCGTTACACTTAAGTAGTTTGTTAAGCTTGTTTTGTAGTTTTGCTAGGTTTGGTTTAAGAAGAAGAAGAAGGGAAAGTACTTTGCATCCCTTTTCTACAGACAGTGAGAGATTAGGAAAAAGACAGAGAAAGAGGAAAATAGGAAATATGGAAAAATCCTTAACTTACCCGAGCGCTTTCTTTCAGATCTTGCATAGAAGGATCGGTAACAGGTTTTCCCGAGGCCAACTTGGTGGCATTGATAAGATCACCCAAGGCCGAGGCCACATCTTTGACGGCATTGATGACCATGACCTGGGAATCGGGTTGGGAAGAGCCCAGGGAGCAGGCACCCAATTTAACAGCCTCCGCCAATTGCACTAGAAAAAAAAAAAAAACAAATCAAAATTAAATTTCCTCTCCCAAACTCCTCCCGCAATTCTTCCCCCAACCTACCAATTGTGGTCACAGCATTCTGGGCAGCATTGGCCAATTGATCCTGGGTTCCAGCCGCTCCGGTAACCAACACCTTGGTATCCTCCACCAAAGCCTTGGCAGTTTGCAGAATATGCTCACGATGATCAGCAAAACTGCTATCACGATCGGAATGCAGGGTGCCAGCAGTGGCAAACATAATTGTCGTATCCAAATCACCAATAATACCCGAAATGGTATGGGCAGCATTAATGCATGCCTGGGTGCCGCGAGAGCCCGCCTGTAAGGCAGCCAGGATTTGTGCCACCTTTTCGCACACCTCACGGGCATTGCGTGAAATTTCCGCTTGATGAGCCGTATCGTCGGGACGTGCTCCCGTGGCACTTGTCTTAATCATTGAACCCACCGAGCGGCCCAAATCAATAACCGTGTTGCGGATACGCATAGCCACATCGGGTGAGGTGGTGGTGGCCGAAGCTCCCACCGAATCCTGGGTCAGTTGGGTATATTGTTTGGCCATTTCCATGGCCAATTGAGGCATTGCCTGGGGTTCAATAGCAGATTTGGCATTGGTTTCATTGGCCAAGCGGGCAATTTCCTTGGCTGTTTGTACCATGCGTGTTTGATAGTCCACAAAGGAGTCGGAGTAGGATGCATTCAACAATGATTGCCGTTTATCGGTCAGACGGGTTATGGCACGATTCACCTGTTCAATCAGTCCTGTCACCACACCAGTTTCAGCATTGATTTTCTCCACAGTTTGTGTCAATTCCTGGGTAGCTTCTCGTGTATTTTCAATGGCCTCATCCAATTTGGGATGGGCATGTGTTGCCCTGGGATTACCGGCCGATTCCTTGGCAGCCTGCACCAATTGTTGGGCACTTTCCACCACAGATTTGGTTTGATTAATCAGGCTCATTTGTTGATTGGTATGGACAATGTGGGTACAGGCTCCAATGGAGCCATTCACCATGGGAACCACATAACGGGAAATTTCACCCACAGCATGACCCAATTGTTCGGCATTGTTCTTGCCAGCCAGTCGTATGGGTTCCAATTTATCTAATAATTCAGCAGCAGAGTTGAGGGTCTGACCCGAAAATCCATGCAAATTGTTATCACGCCTCTGCGACAGTCCCTGGGCATTGACAGCCATGGCACAGCTGTCCAATTCTCGCATACAAGTACCCAAGGTTTGCAAGACCTGATCACATTGGGCCTGCCCGGGAGCCTTTTCACGTATGTTGTCCACCAAACGTTTGACGGATTCCGATACTGGGGTTGAGGCATTGGAAAGTTTTTGCCATACCGGAGGATCATCAGGTGAGAGAGCCAGCGACTTGGCAGCCTGTACCATTTCAATGACCCCATCAATAACACCACGACCGGCATTCAAGACAGGATCTTGGGCCTTTCTACCCTCAGCCGAGATTTTAGCTGGTATGGAAATGAAGTCAGGACTAGAGGCATATTGGCGTACAGCTTTAACAGATTCCAGCAGGGGTTCAACCAAACGAGCACCCGATGATGGTTGAGAGGGATTATCCTCAATGGCCTTGATTTCTTGGACCAAATTGGAAGTGGCTGTGGCCACCTGTTTGGCCAAGACAATGAACTCATTCTTAGCCGTTGGATTGTTGGTGTTCATGCTGGCCTGGCGACAAATCGAACACAAGTAGCTGGTGTGCTTGGCAATGACAGTCAAGGCGGCAATCTTCTCTGGTTTCGAAGACTGGGGACTGCTGACGTCGTCACAGCGTTGGCGTATACCCTGATAGGCCCAGGTCAATTGGGCTTGATCAATGATGCCAGGACGGCCAGCTGTACTGCTGGGATGGGATACACCAATTAAATAGGCAGCTTGGGCCGAAGACTCGATTAGACCTCGGATCGACTCGGAAACATTGTTCACCGACTTGGCAAACTCAGCATGATTGGATTGCTTGGCGTTGTTGATCATTTCGGAGAAAGCATAGCCCAAATTACGAGACTTGGCTGTGGCAGCCTCTACACAATCGAAATAGCCTTGATCGTTGACCGGTTCATGGGGATAGTCCAGCATAACGCGCAAGGCCTCAATGTTACGGGTGGCATTGTCACATTCCTTTTGACCCGGAGCCGATTGGATGCTGGCATCAACCAATTTGTTAATGCTTTCGGTGACACTACGTGCGGCGGCATGCAACAAATTCTTGGCATTAGGTTGTCCTGGATCACCAGCAATGGACTTGGCAGTGGACAAGAGAGAACATGATTGGGTGGACACATTACGCAAACAGTCAATCATTTCAGAGCGCACAACTTCTTCGGGATTTTGTCCTGCCATTTCCATGGAAACGGAAAGCAAATCACGATAATTGGCGGCAAAGTTGTTGCTGGTCTCAGCCAATTTGGCGGGGCTGTCATAGGCCTGGACAATTTGGCCACCGGCATTACTCAAACTTTCCGAAACCTGTTTCAATTCATTCTGCAGGGTGTTGTAGCTACGAGTCGAGGGAGGAAATTCACTCATCGACAGAATTTCACTCAATTCGCTGACATTGCGCAAGGCCTGATCTACTTCGCGTTGACCGGGAATGCATTCCACGGTTTTGGACAGGGCTTCGGTTACATCACGACCAGCCTGGGTGAGGGCAGTGGGATCTCCCATATTTTGCAGGGTCTTTTGGGCCTCTTCAATAAGGCGGGCCGAGCTGAGTACTACCTCATCGGCGCAATCAATTACAGCGGCATTATTGGTAGTGGCGGCCACACCATGGACACTCTTGGTGAAATCACCCAAAGCCAAGGCGGTATCACGACCCGCAATACCGGCATACATACGTTGTCCCTGCAAAACCGAGGATATCAATCGGCTCAAGGCAATGCCAACATTCTTGGTGGACACACGCAATTGCTGGGCGGTATTTTCCACATTCTCACCGGGCAGAGGTCTCAGGGAGCCCGATTGGGCGGCATTACGGGTATCATCGAGGACATTGTGTAAATTGCGCACAGCCTCCAAGGCAGATTGCAATTCCTGGCCACCACAGGCTTCTCGAGCTCTTTGGGCAGCAGAATTCAATTCCGAAACGGTTTGACCCAAATACAAGGCACTCTTAGACAACTGGGTGGCAGCGGGTATGTCGGTGACAGTGGGCTGCAAGGCACGGGCAGAACGTGACACCTGAATGGCCGGTTCAATGAATTGTTCAGCGGCCTCAATCAAATTGAATTGGGCATTGTAATCATCGGGACTGCTGCGGGTGGTCTTAACAGCGGTGACCAAACGTGGTATGGTGTCGGCGGCACGTTTGCAATCCTGCAACAACGACTCCTTGGTTTGATGATCATCACTGTGTTGTACGGCATTCTGGGCTGCCGATATACATTGGGTGGCAGCGGAGGCGGCTTGTTTAGAACAGTATTCCAGACGACGAATGAGGTTGCGTTTTATGGCCGGAGTATTGGCGGTGGAGGTGGTAATTTCACGCAACTCTTCGGCGGCCTTGCGTAGGGCATTTTGATTTTCCGTGTCATGAGGATGGCTGGAACAGAGACGGGCAGCCTCCACAAGTTTTGCCGTGGCATCAGCCAATTGTTTGGCAGCCGAAAGCAGACGTCTTTGGACATCGGCATCTTGCTGCTGATCGGCCTCACCCTTAATACTTTGAATCAACTGGGCCGTGGCCTGACCCAGTGTCTTGGCATGACGTACCATTTCCTGGGGATCATGGGAGGAAACCAAAATATCGGTGCTAATGATGACATTTTCAACCGGACTCATTTCTTGGCTAGAACGATTGGCATATTCCCTGGAACTCAGCTTGACATGTTCCAACATATCCGAAAGACTCTTGGAGACATCACGGGCGGCGGCAAGCAAGTCATTCTTCAGTTGAGGATCATTGGTGGCCTCATTGCACACCTCGCAAAGACTGTTCACAGCACGGGCCACATTGCGAGCGGCACCCTCCAATTGTTCACGACAGGCGGCATTGTGGAGAGTGGGAGCCACCACCTTGGCACATGCCACCAATTGACTGGTGGCCAAGGCACATTGGCTGGCAGCTCCAATGACACGATTACGTGATTCCACATCATCACAGCTGGCGGCAATGGATTTGGCCCGCAACACCAAGGCGGCAGTGGTATTGGCAACAGCCTTGGCCAAAGACAGTAGCATATCCTGCAAATCTTTGTTTTCGGGTACATCTTCCTCGGCAATGGTGCTGAGAACATAGGTTGTGGCATCACCAACACGACTGGCAGCATTGATGAGATTTTGTGGTGGTTCTTTGCTTTCCGGTTCGGCTGCCTTCAGCAATTCGCTGAATACCGAGCATAGATTGCGGGCAGCTTCCAAGAGACGATCGCCGCTGCTGTCATCTTCCATCAAGGCGGCAATGAGACGAACTTCCTTCGTTACCTGGGGTATGGTCTGGGCAATTTGTGATACCGAAGCTGAGATGGCTTCCGTATCAACTTCATCCGGCTGGGTGGCGGTAATGATTTGGGCCGTAGCGGCACTCATTGTTGCCACATGACTAGTAACAGCTTGTTTCGAGGTGTCCAAGGTATTTTCACGCCATTCAATGGAACGCATATCATTGCCCAGCTCTTGAATGGGAGCCTATATAGATGGGAGAGGGAGGATATTAAATTGCAAATTTTATTGATGTGAAGGATGTTTAAAAATAACTACCTTGGTGCGAAGTTCTTCATCGGCCCTTGATAGAATTTCCTGGCCAGCTGATATGTAACCCAACAAGGCTCTTTGGGGCTCGGTAAGATTCACAGAACTAATGCGAACTTCCTTAGACTGTCAGGGGAAAGAAAAGGCAATACCGAAATTAGAACAAAAAAAAAAAAAAAAACATTTCAAAATGAAAATGGAACTGATTGGGGATTCAAACGCCAAAAACGTTGTGAAAAAAACTGAATTTTGGGGAGAGGCCTCCTAAAAATCAGTTTCATTCATTACATCTTTTGTGTCTGACCCCCCCAAGATTTAAATCAATTTTGAATAAAGAGAACCTACTTTGTGAAACTTTGAAATCTTGTCTATATTTTTGTTTTTGTTAGCAAATAGCAGCATTTTATTTAAGAAAAAGAAAACAATTTATTTTTGAATAAATTTTAAATTTGAAAAATTTTTTTATAAAAATTATTGGAAAAGTGTGCTATTTTTTTGTGGTGCATGACGAATTTTGTATTGGTTTTGAATGCATTTATGGCAACTTAAAAATTAAGGATTCAAATGTTCAACAGAAAAAAAAAAACAACTAAAAATTGAAATAGCTTGGGTGCCAACTTACCGTGGGCGGTTGATGGGCATGATTGACTTGCCCAACAAAGGCGCCATACTGTACAGTTTGTAATTCTCCTTGGGTGTAAGATTTTTCGCCTAAAGTATTTGTACAAAAGAAAATTAAATTAAAAAATTTCAATAAAATAAAATAAAATAATAAAAAAAAAAAAACAACTTAAATGAAATCAGTCGGTATTGCCGACAGCTGCATATCCTCAGCCAATGGGCGGTTTTTTTTAATATATTTTGACTTGCGTTATGATTTTTTAAACTGTGAACCCTTCATAGGAGAGGTTATGATAGAGTGGGTCAATATTTCCCAAACGTTCAGATTTGGATTTTATATCAACTACTTGCTTCACTTTTAAGTAGATATTTAATTTTCATTTCATTTCGAAAAGTTAGAGTTATATTAGAGTCATTATTATTTAAAATAATGACCCGTTGTGGGGTAGGTAGGACCCGGGAGGAGTATTCCGATATTGTCCATCTTCAAAACACATCTTGTGTTGATAGAAGTATTGGAATGTGCCCTATTTGAAAGTAATCGGATGTTCATTTCGCGTTTTATGCGCTTGCTAGAAGGAGTGGTCCGTTCAATCCGTTCTTCACACTAGACCTTGTGTTAGTGGAAACATTAAAATGTGCGAAATTTATAGATAATCGGAGTCTTAGTTAAAATTTTATAAACGTTATAATTATTCAAAATTTCGGGCCTTTTGGGGGAGGTACAATAAGGAGTGGTCCGATACCTACAATCTTCATACCAGATCTTGCTTAAGTAGAAGTATTGGGATGTATGAAATTTCAAAAGAATCGGATGCTTATTTCGCATTTTACGAGCTTAATGTTTATTCCAAATTTTGACCCTTTTGCGGGGGAGGTACTAGAAGGAGTGGTCCGTTCAATCCGTTACACATACCAGACCTTGTGTTAGTGGAAACATTAAAATGTGCGAAATTTATAGATAATCGGAGTCTTAGTTAAAATTTTATAAACGTTATAATTATTCAAAATTTCGGGCCTTTTGGGGGAGGTACAATAAGGAGTGGTCCGATACCTACAATCTTCATACCAGATCTTGCTTAAGTAGAAGTATTGGAATGTATGAAATTTCAAAAGAATCGGATGCTTATTTCGCATTTTACGAGCTTAATGTTTATTCCAAATTTTGACCCTTTTGCGGGGGAGGTACTAGAAGGAGTGGTCCGTTCAATCCGTTACACATACCAGACCTTGTGTTAGTGGAAACATTAAAATGTGCGAAATTTATAGATAATCGGAGTCTTAGTTAAAATTTTATAAACGTTATAATTATTCAAAATTTCGGGCCTTTTGGGGGAGGTACAATAAGGAGTGGTCCGATACCTACAATCTTCATACCAGATCTTGCATAAGTAGGAGTATTGGGATATATGAAATTTCAAAAGAATCGGATGCTTATTTCGCATTTTACGAGCTTAATAGTTATTCCAAATTTTGACCCTTTGTGGGGGATGTAACAGAAGGAGTGCATCGAAATATTCCATCTTCACACCAGACCTTGGGCTAATAAAAATACTGTGATGTGTGTAATTTAAAGAGAACCAGATGCTTATTTCGGATTTTATAATCGTTTTGGTTATTCAAAATTTTAACCTTTTGTGGGGGAGTTACCAAAAGGAATGGTCCGATCTCTACCATCTTTATAACAGATCTTGTGTTGGAGGAAAGATTGAGATGCGCCAAGTCTGAATGGAATCGGACGTTATTTTCGCGACTTATGAGCTTCGAGGTTATTCCAAATTTTGACCCTTTGTGGGGGAGGTACCAGAAGGAGTGGACCGATATATCCCATCTTCACACCCACCAGACCTTGGGTTAATAAAAATATTGTGATGTGTGTAATTTGAAGAGAACCGGATGCTTATTTCGGATTTTATAATCGTTTTGGTTATTCAAAATTTTGACCCTTTGTGGGGGAGGTATCAGAAGGAATGGTCCGATATCTACTATCTTTACACCAGATCTTGCTTAAGTAGAAATATTGGAATGCATGAAATTTCAAAAGAATCGGATGCTCATTTCGTGTTTTATGAGCTTCATGATTATTCAAAAAAGTTGACCCATTGTGGGGGAGGTACCAGAAGCAGTCGACCGATATATTCCATCTTCACACCAGACCTTGGGTTAATAAAAATATTGTGATGTATGTAATTTGAAGACAAATCGGACAATCGAAATCACATTTTATAGGAGCTATAATTATTCAAAATTTTGACCATTTGTGTGGGAGGTACTTAATGGAGTGGACCGATATTGTCCATTTTTGCACCTGACCCAGCACTGAGGCAAATATTAGGATTTGCAAAGTTCGGATAACCCTTTCTTCTCCTGTGCAGTAAATTATTTTCTTTGAAAATGTTGACATTTTGTGGGGGTCGTACCAGAAAGAGTGGTCCAATATTAACCATCTCCGAACTGGATCTATGTTTGACAATAATATTACCATGTACCAAGTTTGGATCAAATCGGAAACTTCCTTCGAGAGTAATCGGACGCACCCGCCAGCCAGACAGACAGACGGACGAACGGACATCTCTAGATCGACTCCAAATGTCTTGAAACGGATTTGGTCCAAAGGGACTTAGGGTTTAAAAATGTTTTTTTTTTTTTTCGACGAGACACGTTTTGGCCGTATCAAATGATACGGCATGATAGCCATATGGCTGAGGGTATAATTAAGAAATTTTGAACAAAAACAGACTAATATAATTGGATTTACTGTAGAGAATAATGGTGCCTATTTTAAATGAAGTCTGTATTAAATGATAGCTATGGAACATCGGGACCTGAAGGAATCTATCTATTTATGAAATAAAATTGCTAACCCGTTCCAAATTCCTTTACGATATTTATGTAAAAATATATTTTCTCTAAATTTCTTGAAGAAATTAGTGGCAAAATCAATTCGATCCATGTCTAAAAATTAATCTGTTTTTATTTCGAAATCATAAAAAAACAACTACTGAAAATAAGCATAAACACCAAGAAGCTTTGGCCATAACTTTAGTATTTGCCATGAATTTTGGTATTTTACAATTTCCGTAAAGAAGCAAATATTGCAAAGTATTCTAAAATGAAAAAAATTCCAAATGTTTACATACCATCATCGGCCCTCATCATACCCGGATGAGCCAAAGATTCTGTGTTGATCTTTCCGATTTTGTTCGTTTCATGTTGCAAAAACGTTGCTCTACAAAAGAAAAATAATAAGTATTCCAAAGCGAAAATGAAAATTATTTTCCAAAAAAACTCACTTGAAAGGTGCCACAGATTCCTCAACCATAGTCGATCCCTCATCACCCTCAATGCCAAAATGATCCTTGGTTTGTTTCTTTTTCAAAATAATATCAATATAACCGGCAATCAATTGAACAATCTGTTCGGCCTCTGTTGTCTGCACGGAATAATATTGATTGGCATAATCACCAAAATCCAAGGTAAATGTATTTGGCGATGCACCCCAACGTCGCACGGTTGTCAATGGCCATGATACCAAAATCTCTTTGGTACGTTCATCCAAACGTAATACCGAATCTTTGGTAACGCCCAACAAACGTGGCACCAATTTATTTTTACCATTCATTTTCTCCTTGACCAAAAAGAATGTAACACCATAGGTGGGCAGTTCACGGGCTGTCTTGGTGTACAAGACCTTGGCATCGATTTCCGAGAGATCAACATGCTTTTTGTGTTCGGCAAAGATTTTCTTTTCGATGTTCTTGACGCGCACATACGATTGCGGGAGGAAGTCCTTTAGGCTGTTGTGGTGGGAGAGAAGAAAGGAAATCAAAATCATGATGTAAATAGGAAAATAGAAAAGGAAATAATTCAACGATTGGAATCTGAAGATATCAATCGAAACGAGACAACATAAAATGAGTTTTCTGGTCCAGATGAAACAGAAAATTTATGACATTGGTAATTTGGACAATGCAAACTTCTCTGGAATAATCGATTGAGATTATTTCAGGGACGAACAAATTCTCTCAACAAAATCTGTAAGGCAGAATGAAGAAAGAATGGTATGGGTAAACATGTGGAAACCGGAAAGGAAGAGTAAAATTATTTTCCAAATTAAAGGGAGAAGTTCCAATAAAAAATATAAATCTTTAGAGGCTGGGGGGAAAAGAATGAGTAGAATAAATTTTGGGTGGAAAATTCATTAAATTTTGACGAAAGATTGGTGTTATTGCCAGATTATATGAAAAAATGTAGAGCAGATGGTAGAATTTATGTGGGAGAGGTACCAGAAGGAATGGTCCTATATATCCCATCTTCACAGCAGATCTTGTGTTAGTAGAAATAATGGAATGTGGGAAATATGAAGAGAATCGGATGCTTATATCGGATTTTATAAGAGTTATATTTATTTTTTTCAAAACTTTGACCCTTTGTGGGGGAGGTATCAGAAGGAATGGTCCGATCTCTACCATCTTTATAACAGATCTTGTGTTGATAGAAATATTGACATGTACCAAGTCTGAATGGAATTGGATGCAAATTTCGCGTTTTATGAGCTTCATGGGTACAAAATTTTGACTCTTTGTGGGAGAGGTACCAGAAGGAATGGTCCGATCTCTACCATCTTTATAACAAATCTTGTGTTGATAGAAATATTGAGATGTGTCAAGTCTGAATGGAATCGGATGTTAATTTTGCGTTTTATGAGCTTCATGACCCTTTTGAGGTGGAAGTACCAGAAGGAGTAGGCCGATGTAGCCCATCTTTACATCAGATCTTGTACTGCTATAAATATTGTAATGTGTGCAATTTGAAGACCATCGGACTCATATATCACATTTTATAAGAGTTGTAATTCTTCAAAATTTTCACACTTTGTGGGGGAGGTATTTGATGGAGTGAACCGATATTGTCCATTTTCGCACCTGACCTAGCACTGATGGAAATATTAGGATTTGCGAAGTTGGAGCAAAATCGGATTATCCTTTCTCCTTCTGTGCAGTAAATTATTTTCTTTAAAAATTTTGACATTTTGTGGGGAAGGTACCAGAAGGATTGGACCGATATTGCCCATCTCCGAACTCGATATAAGTTTGACAATAATATTACGATTTACTAAGTTTGAATCAAATCGGATACTCCCTTCGAGAGTTATCGTGCGCAACAGCCAGGTGGACGAAAGGACGGACATCGCTAGATCGACTCCAAATGACCTGAAACGAATTTGGTCCAAAGAGACCTAGGATCTAAAACCGTTATTTCGATGAGGCTCGTTTTGGCCGTATCAAATGATATATACTCCCTCTAGCCATATGGCTGAGGTTATAACTAGCCATATGGCTAAGGGCAAAAAAAATCTTGAAAAAGAAGCGGTTCAGAGGCTTCAAGACAAATTGGATTGTGAGTGGAATTTTTAGTTTTTTTTCGAAAAGGCGAAATCTTTTGAGACCGTGTGAGATACCAGGGAGAATGAATAGAGTCAAATGGTTTCTAGGGCATTTTGTTAAATAATTATTTTAGAGAAAATCGTATGAAAAAGAACATAATCTCAGCTTTAGACTCCCTTTCAAAACAGTAAAATATCCCAGAATCGTTTTGATTACTTACTCTAAAAATCCAGGTTTATGTTTGGCTTCGTTATGTGGTCCAAATTGTATGTGGACTTGTATGCCAGCAAATTCACAAGCTGGAAGAAAAAACGCCAATAAATTTCAATTCTGAAACTCAGGGAAAAATTATTTCACTCACCCTTCTCCTGTGTCACAGGATGCGTGCCATCCAAAATAGTATCACGGGCCTGTACATACAACAAATTCAGCTGTACAGGGTCCCGGGAATCAATGTTTTGATCGGAGAAAAAGAAACGACGTCTCAGTAAAACGGTTTCCGATTCATCGATACCCTGTTCGCGCAGGGTTTTGCCAACATCAACCCAGTTTACTGGAAAGCAGAAAATTGAGATATTTTATTAGATATCCTTATGGAATTTAAATTTCTTTTCGAAACACTTACTGTCATCAGTTTTCAATTTTTTACGCAAACTTTCCATTTTTGCATCACGATCTTTCTCCGTAAATTTCCGTCTCAATGTCAGCGTTCCGAATTTATTATCGGGGAAATTTTCATTTTGCGCTTCATTATCTTCACGCACCAGACCGTATTCCTCGTGATTGGTAATACCGATTTTTGTACAAATCACAACCATCAGCTGGGAGACAGGTTGCGAATCATCAACGAGAATTGTTTTAACAGCACCATCTAACATGCGAACACGCAGGGTACGCAGTTTGCGTCGATATTCCAAGGTATCCTGATTGTGTAGTATATAATAGCCGAGGGTACGGCCATTTTCCAACCAGACACCCTGTTGATTTTGTTCATCCGAAATGAAGAGGCCATATTCGCTAGCTGGAGACGAAGAGAGTAAGAGAAAAAGGGAAAGAAAGTTAGTGGGTGTTTAAGTGTGTTGGTTGTTTGCCATGAGAACGAGAGAGAGAGGTGGGTAGGTGGGGTGTTATGGGTTTGTTTCCTGATAATATTATAAAAATCAATTATCATTGTTATCACCCTCCCATCCTCCTCCTCGACCTCATCTCTGAAGTATAATACAAATATTGATTTATTTTCTTTCTTTTTTTTTCAAATTTATTTATTTGCCAGTAGGACCTTTGTCAGTGGCTCTATCTGGGTGTGTGTGTGTGTGTGAGCGAATATTTTACTTTGCTACTTACGTTGTCCCTGAACAGCTTCAGCAAATTTATCTCGGATTATTTTGCAGGCATCGAATACTGTGGTATTGGGATGGAATTGTATGGTCTTCGTTACACGTCCACCCTCCAATTGTATACGTAACGATAATGTTGACATTTTTCTTCCTCTTCTTTTTCTTTCTGCTGCTGCTACTGCTTCTCTTCCTTTTCTCCTCCTGTTTTGTTGTCTTTTTTAGCCTGTTTTTGATTTTCTGATTCTGATTCGGTTTCCAATGATTTTGATTTGGATTTTCTTGCTTTATGCTTTGTTTTTTATTTTCCTTTGTTAGGAATTCGTTGTTGTTGCTGTTTCTGTTGTATATAGATGAGGCGGCTGCTGATATCAATGACGATGATAGTGGTGGTGTTGGAGGAGGTGGTGGTGGTTGTTGTAAAAGTGTGGTTGGTGGTGGTCTTGTAATGAATAATACTAAGGCAGACAATGGTATTCTATTTCTCCTTACAGTAGTAATAAAAGGCACTGGAAAAAAATCAGAACAGAGAAAAAGGGTCACATGTAGAGAAAATTGGTATTGGTATGCTTGGCTTGTTGGTTGGCAAAATCAATTCAAAAAAAAGTACATCGAAAAAAAGTATGTGAACTCATTAAAAAGTTTGGAACACGCAAACACCTACAATTAAATAAATTAATTAAAATTCCCAAAAGACATAATAGAAGGTGTAAAGGACAAGGTGGCGGGAGAGAGAAGGCATGTTAAAAATCAATTGTTTGAAACACCTTTTGAAGGAAAGGGAAATTTACGAATTTTTGACAAGATTTTTTGGAGTTCGTTAAGTTACTAAGTATTTTTTCTTGTGGAAATCGGAAACATTTATGAATGCTGGGATGCAGATACATTTTTTACAAGAAATTTTGATATAATTTTATTTTAACCATTCATGGACTATTACAAAGCAACACAAAGTTTTTATAGACATTTTTTGTAGAGTTCTTTTAAATTAATGAGGATTTCTGCCTTATATCGAACATATATCGTTTACAAAAGGTCAAATTCATTTAAAAGAAAATCGGATAGGTGTTAAACTCCTTTTAATCGTATTTTTAGCACGAATTGTCATAATTTCTTAATATTCAACCAAAGCTCTAAGCAATTTGTCTAGGAAGAAAAAAAAATAAAGCATACTTTTAGGCGTTCCATAATACAATGAATAACCAATGATGATAAATAGATAATATTGAATAAATAAAGGATATAAGGTATATAAAAGATAATATATTGATATTCAGGTCCCGTTCTAACAACTTGAATGATGTTCTTTTCATGGAAGCCCATTGAAATGATATTAAACCAACAGAAGGCCCCCAAAAAGACAAAAATAGTTTGAATTCTAAATTGATTTTTTTTTACATAAAACAAGTAGGGAAAAGTCAAAAGTCGGCCGACTATATGATACCCTACACCACTATGCATATGTAGTAGAGTTCCCGTAACAAAAGAATTTATTTGAAGTAGATCATACCACCTACCAACATTTGGCTTTAGAGCAGATAAAATTTGGTTTCAGAGGTAACTAACATATGGGAGGCATATCCAATTCTGAATCGATTTTCACTGAATTTGACGGAGACATTTTAATAGTTTATACCAAATAACATTGCTATAGAGTGCATGAGAAGGATTATATTAACAAATATATATCGGAGACGAGTTCCATTGTCGTCGAATGCACATTAAGAATGCGAGGGACTTCAACACCAAATCGGATGAAACTTTAGTATGGGAGCTATAGCCATATCTAAACCGATTTTCTTCAAATTTAATGTAATAGCATCTAGACTGAATTCGGTCAGATGTATCAATATTCAGTCCCTTTGGGTTGATATTAGCCATTTGGTGCACAATAAACCTGCTATCGGATAAAGATATATATGGGAGCTAATCTGAACCGATCTCGATAAAATTTGACAGAGGTATTTTCGAGCATCAAACATACAGGGTGAGATGAAAAAACTGCAACCAACCATCGCTCGTTACAGTGATACTGGTAGCGTAACCCGACGTCAAGGAAGTGAACGAAAGAAAATAGCAACATTAGCAGAAATGGTTCGAAAAGTGGCCGAAAAATGGCTTGTGAGCTGAACAATATTCCATTCGGTAAATATTGAAACATGAGCTCGGGGTAAAGCCTTTGAAATTTCAAAAAGGTATAATAACTTACACCGCAAAAGAAAGAAAATAGACTCAAAGAGCTAAAGAGTTGCTTCGCTTGGCCGAAAGTGGTGAACTGTCGAATTTGGTTTTCTCCGTCTCCGATGAGAAAACATTCGTTGTCCAGCAGTTGGTAAACAAACAAAATGATCGTGTTTACTTGCCAAAGAGGTCAGGTGAAAATGTACACCTTCGCTTGACCACCAGAACTCAAGCGCCGGCCATTGTGATGGTATGGGCCGCCATAACAGCCGATGATCGCTCTCCGCTCGTATTAATCGACCGTGGCATCAGAAAAAATGCCGAATATTATCGCGAAAATATTCTGGATGGCGTTATTAAAGTCTTGGGTACGCAAAAATGTTGGCCGCAGACCTTGGATATTCCAACAGGACTCAGAACCATCGCACTCAGCACCCGCCACTCAAGAATGGTTACAAAATGAGGTTCCTCGCTCAGGTTCCTCCAGCGCACATTGGCCACCAAAATATCCGAATGCCAATCCGTTGGACTATTTTGTCTGGAGTATTTTGGAAAGCAAGGTTGTCACTAAAAAATACCAAAGTGTCGATCATCTCAAGCAAGCGCTTCGACGGGAATGAGCCAAAATACCGCAGAGCAACATTCGGGCAGCGTGTGAGGGTTTCATTGGCCGTTTGAAGGTCAAAATTCGTGCCAAAGGTGACCAATTCGAGCAAATCTAAACTTATTCTAAGATTTGATGCTATTTCCAACATTTTTTGCTTTCATTCACTAAAATTAAAAAAAAATAATGTAAAAATATGGCATTTGACTTTGTTGCAGATCATAGTACGCATGTGAGGGACTTAAACCCCAAATCGGATAAAACATATATATGGTAACCATAGCTATATCTAAGGAGAAAGCCTGACCATTTTGCAACAACAGAAGACATTTTCTTCAGATTTGATGTACTTGCTTCTAGACTGAATTCGGTGGGATGCATTTAGACTTATATTGGTCCCAAATCGTTTGAAGATATATGCGGGAGCTTTATGTAAATCTGATCCGATTTTCACCAATTTTCAATAGGGTTCGTCCTTAGGCCAAACAAATATTGTTTGGAACATTTCAGCTCAATCGGATTATAAATACAACCTGAAATTTGTTCAAAAGAATACATGGACAGACGGGAGGACAGACAGACTGACATGCAAAAATCGACTCAGAATCATTAATTGTATGAAGATCCTCAAAAGTAAATGTGGGTCTATCTCGCTTCCTTCTACATGTTACAAATTATAATACCCCCAACACATAGCATTGTAGGGTATAGCAAATGAACAGAGACATAATACCCCGACCAACACTTTGTGGTGTAGGGTATAAACATCAGAAGTGAAGTGGCATTTCGTTGCACATTGAGTCGATATCAAAATCAGCGAAAACCCCATAAAAATTCCAGTTCTGTTAAATTATAACATAATGCTATGTCATGATATGATGCCATAACATATTTGTCTACTGACAACGCCATCTATTGAATTAAAGCAACAATGAAATGTCCCATCCTAATTTTATTTGATGTCATTGTTTTAGGTCTATGTCAGAGGCTTTTATCAGTTGCCAAAACGAATTTCAGAATGAAAATTTATTTTGAATGCATTTCATGCTAGAATTATATCTGACCTCTTTTACATTTTTATTGCATACTTTTAGGCACTTCAATTAATTTTGTTAAAGAAATTATAATAAATTTATAGTAAAAGTATAATATAAATATTATATAGTGTTATATGAAGATAACACCATTTCCTTGAAGTTTAAAAAATTTTTGAGAGCTCCTACAAGTATGCTGCAAAAATATTAAACTAAAAATATGAAATCGTCACTTTAAATATGATTCTAACTATGCATTCCAGAATAATCTTAGGTAAACATATTTTGTTTTTCAAAGAAATTTTTCAGAATCTTTCAAGCATATGAAGAGGTCTTTAAGCCTTGCTAGAGTACTGGAGTAAAGTACTCTCCAAACAAAGGATATTTTTGTAAATCCTCTTTTACTGGCCATTTTATTTCTCTCACTGTATCGATGAACTCTCCTCATTCTTCCGTTGCATGAACTTCCAAATCACATTGCATTGCATTGCCTGCATAAATATGACACAGATTTGTTTCCCCCGTTTGTGACCATTCTTTATTCTTTTTTTTTGTTTCTTTGATTTCTGACATTGTTTCTTTTTTTTTTTGTTTTGTTCTCTAAGCTTTAGCATAAACATCGATAAAAATGTTTGGTTTTGGTTTGGTTTTCTTTAGATATTTTCCAAGCAGTAGCATGCGGCAGGCAGTCAATAGCTGTGGTGGCTATGGGAAATGGCATAGAAAGGAGGTAGAGGGGGATTTGAGAGAAACCACCCTTAGTAATGGCATGATGAGCAGACAGAGCTGGCTAGGCCCAACGATGTGCAAGTGTAGCAATCAGTGTTTTTTTTTTGTAGTGCTGTGGCATGATTCGGCTTGGTTTGATTTTTCTTGTGTTTCTTTTCTTTTCCGATTTTTTTTCTGGCTTGGAAATATTATTTGTACACAACAAGACATTATGATAATTGATAGAAGAAGAAGAAAACAGAAGAAACAATGGGACACGCTTGCCTTTGATGGCAGAAATAGAAGCAGCAGTCGCAGTGGCTGCAGCCAAGGGCTGCGATAATTGCAAACAGGGGCAGTCAGCAGCCGCAAGCAGCAAAACTAAGTAAATCTTTAAAAGATACCAACAAAAAAAAAAATCGAAAATAAAATAAATGGAGAAAACTAAAAACCCAAATACAGAAAAAAATATTAAATTAAAAAAGAAAATTCAAAATCAAAGGTAAAAGATTTTGAAAAATTAAATTCTTTAACCATTTTTTACTTAAAATCGCAATTAAAAAATATTTTTTTAAGGCAAGAAAATGTATCTTCTCTGTAATTTCACAATTATTTTTTTTAGAGGGGATGAAAAGTATTTTCATTTTTTTTTTTTTTCAAATATGGTCTTCCAAAAAAATTAATATTTTCACAAAACTCAATCCAAAATCATTGATTTTCGAATAAAATTCCGTTTTTTCTTTAAAATTTTCTTCAAATTACTTTTTTCAATATTTCACCAAGTTATTTTCAGATTTTTTTTCACAAAATATTTGATTTTTCTTTTCAAACTCCAGTCACTTTTTTCTTCTTCGTTGCCCGATGTTCTTAGCTAACGCACCCAAATAATACTGAAAAAGGTTCGGCGGCGAGCAGCTCATCTGACACAGCGGCATTTTTTGCTGCTGCTGATGCTTCTTGGCAAAGATTCAATGAATATGGA